TCATCTGAGACCTTTTCCTGAGTGCCCTTGACAATTGTGGCTTGGTGGATAACAACACATGAAAGAGCATTTTAGCAACAATTCTTGGTATAATATCTTTCTGACATTTCCCAGGCCCTTTAATGTAGGTGCTAGTTTGTTATAGCTTGAGGCCTACTAATTTTTATTCCTCTGTTGTGTGTTTTTGATTGATCTAATGCTGTTGAGCTGCGTAGCACTGCTCTTTCCTGCATTTTTCTTTTTACTATTCAGGAGCACTTGTTTAAGTTGTGGTATTTTAATTATAACTGTGATTATTGATAATTTTCTCTTGTCAGCTGCCCAGGGATCTGAGAGAGAGAGAGAGAGAGAGAGGAGAATGAAGAAGCCCCTTTTAAGAAATTTTGAGGGGAGGCAATAGCTCTGCAGTAGATCACATGCTTTTCCTAAAGTCCCTCATTCAGTCCTTGGCATCTCTAGGTAAAGGAACAACGTAGCAGGTTATGAAAAAGATTTTGGGCTGGAGCTCCTGGAGAGCAGCTGTCCTCCAGGCTCAACAGTAATGGCTGAGATGAACAAATAGTCTGATGAAGGGAACTTCTGAAGTAAGGAAGTTACTTCAATTTTCCTTAATAGGAATATTTATCCTGCTGAGGCTGCCAGAAAGTCTCTGTAACAAAGCTGCAGCCCCTCAACAGCCAACCCTGGTATTTCAAAATTAAACTGAATCAGGCTGGGACCCAAAGAATGGCACAACTAGTGACTTGCACCCAAGGGAGCTTTGGGTTTCTTATGCCACCTGGTAACTCACTTGTGGAACTGAGGGGATTTTGAAAACCAAATATCCATAGTGCAGGGACTGACTGTACAAAAAAACCAAAAAAGCCCCAAAGCCCATTGGACATGTCTAAAGTAGATCTTCAAATCTTGGCTATACTCTTGGCTAATTTCAAATGAAATTAATTAAGTTATTTTTAAAGGGTTTAACTGAGGATTCCAAAAAACAAATACCACATGTTCAGCCACTGCTGTTCCTGCCAGAATTTGTAACAAAGGTTTGGCCTCTTCAGCATATTGAATAAAGAGCTGAACCTTGCCTTTTATTTGAAATGCAGAAATAATTTACAGATTCAAATGAGATTAAAATGGCATTCAACTATCCACTGAGCCAGGATCACTGGAAAATTTCTTCTATCCTCAAAGCGTGTGCTGAAGCTGCAAGCAATAGAGTCGCTTGCATGGAGTGTAAGATGACTTCCTGAAGAACTAGGTTCTTTTCCCTTGATGGATTAGCGATCTTTAAAACACATCATTTTTTTAAAGGCAGCATAGGCAAATTGGATAGTACTTGGCCATGCACCATTTGTGCAGCTGCCTCATACACCTACACATAAAGTAAAGCAACCAGTTAAATTTTACTGAAAAAGTACACAAAGACTTGAATGGCTCCCTTACCTCAAACTTCTGCAGTTGTGTACTTATTAATGCTGTTAATTTTATTGTAAGCAACACTCTTGCTCAAACACTGATGCTCATTAATGTTGAACAGATTCCCCACATTTTGGCTACAAATTTACATTTATTTGTGTGTGAAATGTATACTCTGCTTTTCCCCTTCAAAGAACAAATAGCTCAAAGTGGCTTGCAAAATGTAAAAAGCTCAAAAATGATAAGCAGTCATACAAATATGTAACACATTAAAGCCGCAAAGAAAGAACGCAAATTAACAGTCAGTAGAGAAAGTTAAGTAGCAGCAGAATCAAATGATTGTTGGGAAAAACATGTCTTCACTTGCTGGTGGGCCATAGTGAAAGGGGAAGGTTGGGCAACAGCACATGCAGCAGCCCTCCTCTGGGAACCCTCTTTAAAAGATATTAGGAGACAGAGTAACCAGAGGAGGGCCTTCTCTGCGGTGGCGCCCCATCTATGGAATGCGCTCCCCAGAGAGGTCCGCCTGGTGCCATCATTATATGTTTTTCGGCGCCAGGTTAAGATCTTTTTATTCAATCAATATATTAATAAATTTTAATATTGAAATTTATCATCATATTTTAATTGCAGCCAGAGTGGGTCGTTAATTTATTTATGTTATGTTCAAGATTTGTATTTTATTTGTGTAAGCCGTCCTGAGGCTCTTGCAAAGGACGGCATACAAATATCCTAAACAAATAAATAAATGTTACAGACAGGCTTCTGCCACTGAGGAAGCCCTGTTGTGTAGCTTCGCCAACTGCACCGTTAAGGCAATGACACGCATGAGGGTGCAGCACCTGGTCTTACAGGGCTGGCTGTTTACATGAGAAGAGCTGATGACCCTTCAACTAACCAGGTCCCCTTCAAGTAATAACCAACACCTTCAAATGCACTGGGAAACAAACCAACAGCTAGTGTGGCTGATACAATAAAAGGATCACATGATCCCAGCACTTTTCTGTAGTCAAAATACTTCTGCCCATGACAAGGCTGACTTCAGGAAGAACTCCCATGCTATGAACCTAATCTTTTAAAGTAGGGTTCTCAATGTGACACCCAGAGGCAATTCCAGTAGTGCCTGCAGAGAGGTCCCCAACATGGCACCCATGGGAATCTGAAATTGCTTTTACATTTTTTTTATTTTGTCCATGTTTGATAAGCACAAAGATTATTCTTTTATGAAACACATTCAACTTTCTAGCTGAACTTTGAATGTAAGTTGAACACATTCAACTTTCTAACTTTCAACAAAAGTGAACTGAATAGCCAGATAAATGCCCATTTGAAGTTGGTGTCTATATGCCACCAGTTCATTTACTGAAGGTCTTGTAAGCTCTTCAATCAATTGCATTATAGGAGGTGAGTATTTATTCTTGTAGTGTTACACTACCAATCCTTTAGTTGTCAAAAGGGCATTAAGAATCCATTTTCCCTTTCCACTTTATAATCTGTATGAAGCTCTTAGATGATTTAAGAGCATGTGCATCAGTGATTATTGATGAGTGTTCTAGTACAAATGTTATCTGTGTGATAACTTCCTCCCAAAAAAGAATAAACAACTGGACATTGCTAAGGCACATGTTTAAAAAAAATCATTTTCTGCATTGTGCTACTGGCAATTAGCTGAATCAGGCAACCCTGTATTGTATTAAGGGGATATTGCAATGCCCAATAGACATGAAACAAAAATTTTGCTAAATAAGATGCAATCTAAATCCATAGAGGTGGCAGGTTGATACCAAGGCAGTGATCCATTGAGGTAATTTGTGGTGATGCCCATGACAGTTCCTTGAATTTCCCAATGTGCCCATGGGTCCAAAAGGTTGGGAGCCCTGTTTTAACAGGAGTGCATCCTTATCCAAAAGAAGCTGAGACTCTCTCTTAGCAGGTCCGTTTCCTAACCAATACCATTCTACCTTGTTAGATTTAATTTCAGTTTGTCTTCACCCTCCATTGATTTGACATCCCCACCCCCAGGTATGAAACACAGAAGATACGCAGCTGATTATCATCAGCAGATGGATGGATAGCCACCATCTTTCACAGTAGTTTCATGAAATACAGAATGAAATCAAACCTTGAGGGATCCTCTGAGCTTCCTGTGCACAGAGAAAATCAGCTTGCCTTAATTATGATAGCCTTTATAAATATTGTAAAACTATTTGTGGACCTTCAATATACAATGCCCATAACAGCAGAATATCCTTAACTATTCTTTTCTCTGAGCTTTTAGCCTCAGTTAACTTGATCAAAATCTGGTAGGGGAGCTGGTTCCATTTGTAACACCATTTTATCTTCTCTTCTTGTATGTTATCCCAACATACATAGTAATGGATTAAGGATGCACAACCCCTCCACCCCAGCATGGTCTGCTTTCTTTATACCCTGGTTGCTCTCAGACCAGTTTGAAGACTTCCAGCCTCCTCAGCATCTTAATTTTGGGCTTTGTAGAACTGAACGAGCAAGAATTCTACTTTACGTATGCGCAGAGAATGCTGCTGGTCCACCCTGGATGGATGAAAGATGCAACTAAGTGGACTTTGGAAGAAGTTACCAGCAGCAAAGTTCCTGTTGCTGCTGATAATAAATTTTGTATCTTGACTCTGTGCTGCCATCACCTTTACAGTCAAACAACATATTTTAGAATAGAATTAGAATGAAGGATGCATACATGTCTTTGCACTGTTCATCCTTAAATTCTATGGCATTTTCATCTTGATCTTTTTCCATTATGGAAGTGTCATACTCTGTTTCTACTTCAGGCAATTTGTGTTCTAGGTCAGTTCTTAATGCTTTTTGTTTGGTTGATTGCATGGGGCCATTCCCAAAGGAGGCAAGAAGAAAAAATCATTTATTATAATCCAGCAGACATGACTGCTTTAAATTTGTCTCTTATAGGGAGGTTTCCTCACTGAACTGATCATTTTTATTGTGGTGAAATTTTATATATAAAAAATTTAGATGGAGTCCTCTGTGTTACCTTAAAGTGTGTGTGAATCATTTACTGGTTTAAGTGTCTGCTCAAAGCTGAAGAAACATAGATAAATATTAATTGCATGTGTCACAAATAGTTGCTTTTTAGTCATTTCCATCCTCGTTATTTTGATGGCTGTGTGTGCATGTGTTTATTATTTCATACCAGGATTACTTCTGCATCTACTAGCTTTAAGGTGTTGGTGTCTTTTCATTGCACTTGAGAACTGCTATGGTAGATATGGTTACTATATTAATTGGCAGTACAAAAAACAGGCATGTCTTTTTACTATTTACTGGCTGTAGAAAGAATTTATCCTGCATAGTAATCCTTCAGGTGATCTATTAATACTGCACCTTCAGCTTCGAACATTTATATCTCACCTTTTCTCCTGTAAGGAGCCCAGGTTTACCGGCTCTCTGCTGAGACAAGGACAGAGAGAAGTAGCTGCAGGAGGATGCTTTTGCATATGTAACTTGAATATTTTCAGAGGTCTTCTATACCTACACAAAAATGTAACTACTGCTCCAAATGCCCCCCTCCATTAAACATTTGTAATATTTATTCCATCTAGGGAAAGATTCTCAATCGTAAAGGATGCTGTCCCATTTGCACTGAAAGTGAGTAAGTTCATTCTTCACATTTTTTCAGCAGTCTATTTGTCAGAAAAGAAGTCTAATTTGTCTTGCATGTCCTCCCCCACATTTTGGGTAATAGAAGAAGTATTTGCTTCAGGACTGAGATTATTCATAAATGCTGAATAGAATATTTGTTGTTTTCAATATTTCTCCATAGATGTCCCAGTAATATTCTTATTCCTTGCTGTTATTTAAATCTTTTCCCAAACATAAAAAGGACATACCCTAGAAGAAGAACTTCGCAATGAAAAGGTCATTCTCCTCAAAGCTCTCCATATGCTGCAGCGTGTTCTGTGTTTAACTCAGGATGAGTTTTGTTGCTGGAGAGCTTTGACTGAAAGTGATGTGATGAAAGTAAGCATAGCAGAATTATTTTGGTTTTGGTTTTGCTCATTTACACTAATCGAAACAGGATTGGGAATTCCCAGTCTTGTTTCTGTTAGCATAGAGGAGCAAACCTGATTGTTAGAAGCACTCTAAATTAAAGACAGGCGAGCTCACATTGATGGTTGTAAACATTGTCTGTTAAAATATAGTATTCCTTTAACTTTAAAAGAATGTACTATGCACCTGGAAGTCCCTAATTCAAACTAACCTTCTCCTTGGCCTTAGATGAGTTGCTGTTCTCTCATCTTCAGCCCTCCCATCTGCAAAATGAATATAACAGTACGGGTTGACCTTACAAGGGCATTGTAACAACAGTTGTTACACGATCTGTGCAAAGCTTTGAGCACTTTGAGATAGTGCTATGTATGATTTTTATTACTATTATGTATTAATATCTTGGGGTTTTTTCCCTGAAAAGCTCTATAAATAGAGCAAGAACAGTTGTACTGCCCTTGTTTTACTTTGACTTCCTGAGCATGCAAATATGCCATTAAGAATGAAAGCCAGTTTGTATGCTGCTTTATTAATCCAGGAATAGTAGATTTTATCATCTCACCCATTTTCATTCAGCAAAGAATCTACCCTTCATTTATTTTCATATAAATCATTGTTATATGGAGCTCATCTACAGATGTGATACAACATTTGATTTCAAAACAGAGCTCTGACCTTGTGTAAAGTGTATGGAAGCTGTTTGGGGCTAGAAGAAGGGATCTTAGTGCCAGGCTTACTCCTTGCGTTCCTTTCTGCATTATAGTGTGCATACCAGAGTGAAAAATGGAAGCACGTCCAATCAAATGTGCGAGGCTAGTACTTGTCTCTGTTTCTTTCTCTCTTTTTAATAACTCAGAAGCAGCAACTTGAAAAGGATTGGGTAGCCACTTTTAATTCTATAGATGTTAGTTATTAGTTTGGTCATAGTATTTGAATATCATTCCAACTCCAAAAGATTCTTGTTAAAACAATTAAATCTATTATTTGTTTAGCTATTTATTTAGCTATTTAACATCTACATGAAACCGCTGGGAGAGGTCATTAGGAGGTGTGGGCTGCGGAATCATCAGTACGCTGATGATACCCAGCTCTACCTCTCATTTTCAACCAATCCAGGTGAGGCAGTGGCTGTACTGAACCGTTGCCTGGCTGAGGTAATGGGCTGGATGAGGGCCAATAAACTGAAGCTCAATCCAGACAAGACGGAGGTCTTTTTGGTAGGTGGGTCGGGCTTCGGGGAAGGGGACCTTGACCTTGTCCTGAATGGGGTTGCACTCGCTCTTAAGGACAGGGTCCGCAGCCTGGGAGTGCTTCTCGATCCAGAGCTTTTGCTGGAAGCTCAAGTAACAGTGGTGGCGAAGAACGCTTTCTTTCAGCTTTGGCTGATTCATCAGCTGCGTCCCTACCTGGAGAACGACTGCCTGGCGACAGTGACACACACACTGGTAACTTCCTGACTAGACTTCTGTAACACGCTCTATGTGGGGCTGCCCTTGAAGACGGTCCGGATACTTCAGATGGTACAAAATAGAGCTGCCAGGTTGCTGACGGGGACAGGACGTTGTGCTCACATGACTCCAGTCCTCAGTCAGCTTCACTGGCTCCCCAGTGAAGTCCGGGTCCAATTCAAGGTGTTGGTTATCACCTATAAAGCCCTTAACGGCTTGGGACCTGGTTACCTTAAGGAGCACTTACGTCCATACGTACCCTCCCGCCCCTTGAGATCGGCGGCAGAGGCCCTTCTCTGGGAGCCCTCCGTGACGGACATTAGGAGGGTGAGTACCTGGAGGAGGGCTTTCTCTGCGGTGGCAGCCAACCTATGGAATGCGTTCCCCAGAGAGGTCCGCCTGGCGCCATTGTTATTTGCTTTTCGGCTCCAGGCCAAGACCTTTTTATTTAAATGTCATTTTAATTGTTGATTTTATTGATTGGTTTTTAACAATTTTGGCCAGGATGTCTCTGACTTTATATAATTGTATTAATGATATTTATTTATTTATGTTTGTAAGCCGCCCTGAGGCTTCGGCGAATGGAGTGGCATATAAGTCTACTAAATGAATGAATGAATGAAATAGATACATTAAAACATTAAAAATGGCTTAGGATTTTTTCCAAGTGAAAATGTACCAAATTCAATGTGTATGACCTTAATGCCAGGTGGGAAAGGGACACACATGAATTTTGTATCTGGCTATGCAGGTGAACTCAAAAAATTAAGTGCAAACAGCACCACTAGGGATGGAAAAATCTTTCTCTAATTCAAGGTCAAGTGGTTTCAATGATAAATGATATGCATCATCCTTCAGATTCTCAATTATTTGCAGCTGAACAAACCAATTCCATTGGAGAACTATTGTGTTTGAGATGATGTGAACTAATGGGAAAACTCTGTCTGTGGTGTCTGATCTGTGCTAGCCCATTCACATAGGCAAGCCAATACTTGATTTTTCAGTTGTCAAGTATTGAAGATGAATGCCTAAAATTATCCACATGCAGCTGCTAACTTTAATTCTCCTGGCCCAGTTCATTTGACTTTTTCCGGTGGATTCATGCCTAACCTACCAAGCCAAAAGTTAACACCAGTTCCTTGGTTGCACAGTTTCCTTTCTCAGGAAAGACAACCTTTGACAACCAGCCCAGACACTGAAGAAATAGTCTGGAGTTTGGAGTCAATAACTCTGTCTTTTTGGATTGGGATTTGATTTTTTAAAATATTCATGGGGAAAGGAGTGAGACCCTGGTTCATTTGCTGAGGTGTGAATATATATTATTGGACAAGGTAATAATCTACTTTCTCCAAAGAAAGCAAGTGCTAAATGTGAAGTCTCTCCAACATTGATTTCTAAGGCAGCACTATGGTAGAATTTAAAACCTGTTAAAAACAAAATATGATGTATGAGAAACCTACTTGAGTTCAGAGGATATACAAAAGAAAAAATGAAAAGGGAAGAGCCCGTAAACATTAAAATAGGAAGAATTCCTTGGACAACACCCTGGAAATAGGTTATGATTGACAGTGGCTTGAATTTCTAAAAATACTTGCTCTGACTGTTGTTTCCATTGCAGTTAATCCATTTAGGGAGTAATCCAATCCATGTTTAGAAAGAAAAGTTCTACAATTAGATAGAAAGTTAGCGGGATTAAACCAAAAGGGGCAAAACTGCATTTTCTGGAATATTTCAATAGAATTACAAAGCAGTGTGTTTTTACATTTCAGTGGTGTGTAATTTTGTTAAATTAAAAACTTAAAAACCTTAAAAATGGTTAGAGAATGGTCCCTTGTGTATTTATAAACAATAGCCCTAAACAAGGGAAAAGCCAGTGGCATTGTGCCTTTACCACAAAGCAGGGAGCACATAATTGCAACATAGCAATAGTAATCTGCCAAGTTTTGTGGTAGCCTCATTAGGAGCAAATTGTACTTGTATTTATGGGAAGGTGACTCATCTAAATCAAGGAGACATTGGCCATCTTGTATTTCTGCTCACCAAAATCAATGCAGGCTTTTCTAATGACAGTGGAAGAACACAACAGCAGCCTTCCCCACTGAGTATATATCTGAAAGAATGACTGAGGTTCTTCTGTTGCTTTGTATTATCTCAGATCAGTAGGCCTGGCAGGGCTTTTACAAGAGACAACACCAAAATTAAATGGCATTTCCAAATGGCATCCCATTGTAGAATCATGATGGCTTAATTTTTAGGTTGCTAGAAGTGGGTGCTGTTTCCACAATGCAAGGGATTGAGGAGTTGAGCAATATTATGGAGGTTAAGGCTTTGGTCAAAGTAGCTGAACAAAGTCATTGGGTCCGCAGCATACAGCTAAATTAGACAGAACTCATCAAATCCAAAAATGACAGTGCACTTGAGAAGTTGTTTGCTCATGATTCATTTTTCCCATCAGTGGTGCTTATATTTGCAACTCACTGCAGTTCTGTCAATCTAGTAACTGAAACTGTATCTTGTGTTTTGAGGACTACTTTGTATGTTTCTTTCCCCAGCCAGCAGTGGCCACACGTGCGTCAGAGTTAAGCTTGGCCCTTCTTTACTGCATCACTTTCAATGGGAGAAAATGGAGCATACGTTCCGCCCACACTAAATTTGGTGGGATTTAAAGTGGTTGATTTGTGCTCCATTATGCCCAGATTACTAACAATGTATGATCCTGCTTTTTTCAGGAGTCATACTCTACTATGTAAATTGACCATCACATTTTGAAGAGCTGTTTTAGTAATGATAGAAAATGAATTAAGACATTAGTTGATTTTCTATCACTGTCCAGTAAAACACAGCACAGGAATAATAGAATAACTCTCAAAACAAAATACTGAATACATAAGCACCAGCAAAGTTAGGAAATAATTAAAACAGTCAAATACTGAAACTAAGATAAAATGAGTAAATGCACCTTAAGACACCTAAAATTAACTTTTTTCCATTTATTGATGACCTTCAATCTAACATTTTGTAAATTTACATCAACTGCACAAATGCTTGCCACCTTTACAATCAATTATGCTAAATTTAAGGTCATGGTTTTCTTAAGGAAGAGGGTAACACACAAATGGAAGATCAATAATTAATTGATTGAACAGGTTATAT